TGATTCACTGCATAGTTCCAGAGCAGCACCTACCACCCAAGGAAGAAAAAAAATCCTCTGGAAGCAATGCAATTTACTCATGAACAGGCAGCACATATTGCTACACTGTCACCAAAGAAATGGTTCAAATTCTCACCATGTGTACCCCTGTGCCATCTCACTGAAGTCTCTGGTATAGCTCGTGTAAGTCCATACAATCGCTGTAGCAGAGCTGTCCCACGATAACAGCAGTTAATCCACAGGACAGGCAAAATGGAAAGCAAAATCTCTGAATCTGCCAACAGTGAATTTATTGGCTTTTATTTGCCAAAGCTGCCATGGGTGAAGTATAGGAAAATGCATCCACAGTCAGCCTGCAGTGCCTCCAAGACGGTCTTCCAAGCCCAGCAGAACATACTTCAGTAGTTCTCTCATTTGTTTCTTATCCAAAAATGCCTGTGAGCCCAGCAGTTTATGAAACAATCCTTTTATAACAAATAAAAAAAAAATTAAAGAAAAGAGGGGTTTCTGGGGACCACTCTTAACACTTCTGTATCTCCATCTCAATAGCTGTATTCAACCCATTCTGCTCACTGCTCAGTCCCAATTACAATAAAAGTATTCAATTTCCTCTCTGATTTCCCTTCAACAACAGATTGCAACTTGTGACACTTTAAGCTAATTTTGGTAGCTCATTTAACACACTGAAACCTGAATATGTTCCCAAGCTCTGGCTCATTACAATAAGGGATGGAGAAAGGAGATGAAACCTCTGGATATTGAGAACCCAACCATGATTACTGCTGGCTGAAAACTTGTTTTGTCCCAGTAGCCTTGGGGTACAGCTAGAATCTTTAGTGAATGATTAATGGACTATAGGCAGATCAATGAAAGTCTGCCCTAAATGTATTTGAACCAACTTGGTTGGGGGTCAGAGAAGTCTAACCAGCCAGTATCATGTAATTTGCAACTCTTGATGTAGTGAAACAGCATAATGCATCTCATTTACTGTGGCTGGTTTCTCTAGCCCAAATACCTGAGTCACCTGAGTGGTTATTTTTTTCCCTTCCCTGCTTCCTACTCAGCATTAAAGTTATTATGTGGTGAGCTGGCCTCCAACATCCATTTTCATATTGAGGAGAACCTTCCTCCATCGGTAACCCCCCTCAGTCCAAGAACTGAAAATTCAGGACTATGTTCATTGCTGGTGAACACACTCAGCCACTTATCAAGAGAATATTAAGCTTCTCATAAAGCACTTTACAGTGATAAGTCTTGGAGATATTTAAATTCTGTCACCAATATTGAACTTCAACATTATTTCTTATCCCTGATTTCTGTAACCAGTATAGTCGCTTACTTCCAGGAATAACAAAGACTGTAGAACATATTCTCATTTTTCTTAATGGATGATGAGTTGGCCTCAGTAAAGTTGTTAATGATGTAAAATAAAATGCAAATTAAATAGCACAATCAAAATCTAGCTATTAAAAAAATAGGCAGGCAGTATATGATACTAAGTACCACCCTTTTGCTTACATTGTTAGATAGATAATCCCAACATATTATAAATATAATAAATCACAAAAAGCAGTTTCTGTAGTCGTGAGTTTCTCAAACTATGGGTCATTACCCTCCATGGGGATTCAGGAATGAATTTGAATGGGGTCACAAAAAAACTGTTAGCAAGAAGTGAGGGCACATATTTCCCCCTAAGTTGAGCAGCCTAGTCTTGTGGCAGGGGAACTGGAGAGCAGACTGTAATTAGTGGTTGCAAGTATTTATACTTGCTAGGGAACTGCTAATTACCTTTAATTACAACAGCTCACTTTCTCCAGGAGAGGGAAGCAATATAGGCTAGAATTAAAATTGCTGGATAGTTGCTAACTGCCTTTCATTGCAGGCAATAGATCTGTTTCTCCAGGGAGGAAGAATAAACTTGCGACTGGATCTTATTCCCCCATCATTTGGAAATGGGGCCATTACCAACTCAGGGGGTCACACAAATATGCAATCAAACACGGTTGTATTTTGACTGTAAGAAAGAAATCAATAGTCTCATTTAGAGAATGTGTGACCACCAGGCAAAGACTGAGGCACCCCATGCAATCTGCATTGCATCTTGGTGAAGAAGGATGTTTATTAAAGGACTTAAAATGAGAGGGTAATTGAAAAAGTAGAATGATCTCACTGAAAAGCATTTGTGCACTTCTCTCTGCTGTCCTGCCTGTCATGTGAACTCACTTTCTTGCCCAGAAGGGAATCATCTTTTCAAAGCTGTCAGCAACTGGATGCACCAAGCTGGAAACTGAAGATTGGCACTTGAGGCTGCAGTCCCACACCATGTGTCCTGGCTCAATTAGCACAGCAAGAGTCTTCTCCTCTTCCCTCCTGAGGGCAGCTTTCCTCAAGCCTGGAAGAGAAAGTATCCAGCACTTCTCCCTCTCAAAATTAGGGATTTTAGGGAAATAGAACAGTGATATGAACCCTACATCCCATTTTAGGGGCTTTTAGTGTCATCAAAGTCCATTTTTGCTTTACTGAGGTCTCTGCGATGTCCATGAAGCCTGTGGCTGCAGGGCAAACTGCCTCCTTCAGTGCCTTCTGGCTACCACAGCCACCATGTGCCTTGCTCCAGGAGTGCTCTGGAGCTCCAGACAGGAGTGGAATTGATGTCAGGTGAAAGCAACCCTGCTGATGGACATGACCATACGTCAGCAGCAAAGGTCTCTGCTGCACTACCCCCATGATCCCATTCCCATTCTCACACTGCACCCTGTGATGTGACATCCTCTCCCTGGGGAAGCAGCTCAGAAAAGGGATGCAGGTTAAAAATAATAAGGGGAAAATTAAGGAAGGGGAGTGTAAATTAGGAAAACTGTTCTTTTTTGGCTGGATCAGTTTTCCAACCTATTGTATTGTACAACCACATGAGGTGGCCTGAGCCAAGAGTGGGAAACATGGTAAGCGGCTTAAACAGCACTGCCACATAGTGGCTGCATGTGAGGGAAAGACTAGCCCTGGCTGCTGGTGGAAGAGGAGAAGGAGAGGTTGCCTGAATTAATGGTGTCTACACAACTTGGCCATGGAAAAGGGCTCCGATAGTGCAAAGAGGCTCCTGAGTTTTGCAGGCAAAAGTGTAACATAGCACCAGCCTCAGCATCAAAGCTGTGCAACTTGAAACTCAAAATGCACATAGCTTCCTGCTAGTGAGGGTGATTAGGTGTGGAAGGAGGGGAAGTTGTGTTGACCCAGGGTGTTAAAGAAGAGGTTTAAGCCATAAGTCATTCTTAAACCTAATATCTGGGTCTCTCCTGTGCTTGTGTACAAGAAGTGGGATGAAATTGTCCTAATGAGGCCTTTTGGGGAGGAGATAGGAAAAATGATGCCACCCCATTGGACTGGAGAGTGGCAACTCTCTTTAAAGACTGCCCCATACTCAGTGGCCTGGATGGCATGGATGGTGGTGTATCTAAAGAGCATGCAAATAGTATGACCTACTGGAAACAGTGAAAAATACCAGACTCACCATATTATTTTCCTAACACTAAAAACAGTGTGTTCATGCCATGGGCACACTCCTGCTGAGCTGGTAGGACCTTCCAAGCCCTTCCCACAGGTTCTCTGCCCACTTCAGAAGGTCAATACTAAGGAAAAACCCTCCTGCAAACCATGCCACTCTGTCTTCTGACAATTTGATATGTGGCACATGGCAAACTACATCACCCCAGGGAACCCGGGAGGCACAAGTTATTCCAGAAACTTCACAGAGCAGAAATACTGATTCAAAAATCAACTGGAAACTCTTCCCACTCCTGTCAAATCTTCAGGGATCCCTTCTGGGGATCTTTTCACACCTTTCTGTGAAATGCAACGTAACTGCAACCACAAGTCAGGTTCTATCAAGTTTTCCTTTGCAACCTGTCAGAAACATTTTGACAATCCAGAAAGGTTACCTCCATGCTCTCTAGTGCTGAGCAGGATGCCTGTAAGCCATCTACCTCTTTTGGGAATAAGGATGCAGCCCCCTGCAGCCTGAAAAGCCAAGAAGAACAGTTTCAAAATGTATTTACTGGTAACTGCAATGAGAAAATCGACGTTTAATTCCCCACCCCTTGAGTCTAAACTGCTTAGCTCTGTGTCCCTTCTGTGCCATGTGAGGCACAGCCTGGACAAGTACAGCTGGGAAGAGGACACTCTGGACAGCTCCAAGTAGAATGAAGGCTTTAAGGCAGATTTTCAAAATGTTATGGATTTCATCTTTGCTTAGTAGCTGGTTACTGTGCCAAAGCCATGAATCACGTCACTTGAAGTGATTGAAGGAGGGGAAAGAATAATAATAATAAAGTGGCCAACTAGCTCAGGGATAGGCTTGGGAGTCCTATTAAACTTGAGAGGCTACAAAATCTATTCCCAGACCTTCTGGTTAACACAAGAAAAAGCATCATGCTTCCCCACCCCATCGAAAGAGTTGTACTAGGCAAAAACTGAAGAGCAAACCAGCAACAGGTCAATCCTGTACTGTGTAGGCAAACGCTGCCAGCAGATTAACATGGCAGCACTCATGAGAAGTCTGCAGCAGCTCTGGCAAGCTTTGCAAAATTTATAATTCATCGCAAATGGAACAAAATATGTGATGTTTGTTTCTGTGGAAGAATGGGAGGAGACTAATGGTAAAGGAGAGGGAGTGGGAGTGCGGAAGTGGGGAGAGGGGAAAGCAGAGAACTGAGCCCTGGCGAGTTTTCAGGGACCCGCAGAAAAAATTGTATAAATGAGTAGTTCAGACCTCAAATACCATGCAGTGCTTTGACAATCTTCTGGGTTTTGGCATTTTAAACAAAGTGTTCTTACATTTACTAGGCTGGAATGCCCATTTGACTATAGACTCTCTGCTACTTTGCTTGTACTTTAACATTTTGGACACATGACAAAAATGTGTGTAACGCATTTTTTAAAGTGTTGATTGTGCTCGTAATTTTCAAGTCAGAATATAAAATAAACATCTCTGCCCTTTCTTCCAGCAGGCAGCACAGAGATCTGCTCTCCGCGTTCTATCTGACAGGTACATTTTGTCATTTTTATGAACTATAAATTGCTTTATGAAACGTTGAGCCCTATTTATTGTGGCATATAACTCATAATCGGATTTTGTCCCCAAAGTATCTATGAACTGGGATGTTAAACATTTTGCATGCTTGGATTTGTCATGCATGTGTAGAGTTTATTACTGCAAAAAATCATGGTCTTGTTGTATTTCATACAGAGTATGCAGAATGCCTTGTTGTGATACCAAACAAGAGATAAGAAACTTACTGGAGAAGGCATGAATGATGCAGTAAATTCTGAGCTTTAGAGTTTGCTGAGATATATCTGAGCTCATTTTTCAGCAATAAGTACTTCATTTATTCCGAGATGTTCTCTTTTGACTTTTTCCAAATCCTTTCCCTGGGAATTACACTTCTTTTGATGAGATTCTCACTATGTTTTATGCACAAAAACAATGCCCTTTTTTACCCCTTAAGTTTTAAGGGATTGGTATTTTGGAGGAATTTAATTAATTTTTTCACTTCTTCTGGAACCACAGCAGTGCTCCAGGCAGATAAGCAGGGGATCTAATCCTTAGACAGTGTTCAGGTTTTACTCAGCTCTTTTTCAAGCAAAAATCCATTAACTTCAATGGGAAACTTGTCCAAGTGAGGAATTCAGGATTTGGGCCATAGTAAATGTTATAGTTGGGCTGTAGGTCTGCACAGGTATTTACCTTAAATGACTTTTATGAAAGAGGATTGATTGAAACATAAGGTAGCTTTCTAAGACAGTCCTGATTTCTTTTCCAGTTTTGGGAAACAGGGGAGGGAAGGGGGAGGAGAGACTGTACATTTTAGTGCCTGTGAAAAAGAACTAGCAGATTTACATTTTTCCACAAATGAGGTACTGTGTCATGCAGGCTGACACAGAGTAAATTTCCCCATGCCTTGTTGGCAGCCCCCTCTGCTCCGTCTGGCCCCCAGCCCCCCGCCTCCCTGGGAATAAGCGGTAATTGACTCTGGAAGCCAGCTCAGGCCAGGATTTCTCCAGAGCAGAGCCTGTCACTTAGGCTGAATTATATGTTGTGCATGGATGAATAACATTTCTCTCTGCTCAGAGGCTAAGACCATCAAAATTATCGACCTTCCCTTCCCAAGTTTACAAACACAGTTTTGTTTGGAATTTTTTGCCCCCCTTTAAGGAAAAAAAAATTCCCCAGTGAAATGTATGGGATGCTGGTGAAATTGCTGGCACGGTTGTAGGGCACAGAAGTATTTGCTGTAACTAGAATGAATGCAAAACAAAGAGGAGTTGGAGTCAGAATTATGCCCCTCTCCCTGGAGGTGTGTAAACTCACCCCTAAGGCAAAGCAGATTTTGCTCTTGGTGGGGACAATACCATGACCAAAGGAAACATGGGGATTTTTTCTCAGCATCCTTCACCTGGGCTGCATGAGGAACATTTCTACAGAAGTGCCCCTGGAGGTAATTACAAGCCCCAAACCCTGCAGCTCACTTTCTGTCTCCCCTAGGAAGAAAAGTGGTGGTGATGGACAGATAGTCCCTACCTCATGGAAGGTGGTGAGGGAGCTGGACACAGACTGCCCTCATCTACAGGGCAAAAAGGCTTCAGTGTTAACCACCACACCTCAGTATTTATCATCAGATAGACGTCCTGTCTGCCCCTAGAAGCATGCCCAGGGACTACAGCTTTCTCACGTGCTCTGCCAGCGTTCAGTGCTGAGGCACCCTTCTCCCCCGGCTTCTGGAGGGGGTGCTGGGAAGGCTGGGGGTGCACCCTGGGGGTTGCCACGCTGCCACCCCTAACCTCACTGCAGCAAGTGAAAGCGAGGGCAAGGGGCCAAAATCCCACACTGTGACAGCAGTTTCTGTCTCTTTTTGGCTAAAGGGAAGATACCTGTGATACTGCTGCTCATTAGTTGTGTCCTAGTAGCAACTGAGAGCTCCCAGTCACACACCAACACTTCCCAGTACCAAGGGAGATGGCAGCTCATATAAAGCTTTCAGTAATTTTGCCCACTATTTAAAAAAAAAAATATTCTCCAGCAGTTCCTTTTGCAGTTCCTGCTTTCAGTTTCTATTAAAGAGGTAACAGCTAAACTAAAAGAGGAGGGGAAAAAAAAAAAAAAAAAACACAAAAAGAGAGAGTTTTTAAACTTGTAGCCATTGATTTCTGTAGTGTATCACACTCAGTCTTGTTTTCAGAATGACACAGTAACCCCCAACAGATTTATGTGCAAACACAAAGATTAGTGACCCAGAAGCTTGACTGAAACAGCTTTTCTGTTTCCAGAAGACAGGTTGCTCTGCACATGCACCGACTATTTTGTCAGAAAAGATGCACTGGCCCCATTAGCTTTTCATTTCTCATGAAAAGCCTTCGGTGTTTATACAGCACAGCTTGGTTTTAATTTTATTTTGCTCTCCAGTAAAGGGGTCTAACTCTACAGATTACTCAGTTTCTGGGACAGAGAAGAGCAAGATCTTAACTCATATACCTTAATGGTATAGTGCTGGCATATTTTCAGTTGTCTGACTCTCATACCCACTGCCTGAATGGCTTTCAAATGAATAAAAATGTCTGTAACTAAAATATTCAGTGTGTTCTGTTGTTATTTAACAGTAAGCACTGTGGTTAAGCCAGGTCTTAAACCTGCTTAATCCCGCTGAGCTAAATAGATTTTATTATTGACTCCCATGGTTCCAGAACTCTGACCTTAAGGCTGAAGTTAAAAGCTAATTTTTTTGTAGCCTGTTCCACTAACCCAGAACTACTTGCTTGCTGGATACATTTGCAGTGGAGAATGCCCATCTGTAAATTACAGCTGTTTGCAATCATACCCAAACATAACACTCATTATTATTCTTTTGTTCTTTTTAGGCTGAAAAGCCCACCATGAGGGAGACCGCACAGTACTTAATCCACACATTAAATTTACTCACAGCTCATATTCATGTGCAAGATAAGATTTTCCATGAAGTAAAGATTTACAGTGGTCCTAGGGCATTTTTATTCCCCTGGCTGCTTTTATTTCTCTGTGCTGGAGTGTAGGCCAAATGGTTCTGCTGAAGACTTCTGAATGCTTAGAGGAAAGTGTTGTACCACCACTGAATTTAGAAGGCAAAGATAGGTCCTCCACTGCGCTGCTTGGGTGGTGCTCGGGTGGTACTTGGAGATGTGCTTACTTCCCAGGTGCAGTCTGTTCTCCTTTCTGTGTACTTACGCTGAAGGATGCAGGCAGATCCTGCTAGCTCTGCCCATACGGATCTCAGTGCAGGCATGTAAGATATGAACCCGCTCATCCCAGCAGCCACATGGCTGTGTTGACAGGCCTGCCCTTCCCAGCTGATAAACCCTGTAAGGAGCCCAACTCGCTAGCTTACACTCAGCACCTGGTTCATATATATATGTCATCCAGACCTGAACTCTCAAGTACCAGCTATGAAAGCTTTTAGATTTACCTGTGCTGTTGACAGAAGGCGACATCTCAGAACATCCATTTGGCAATGTAGACAAGCCCTATTCATGATGGTTGGTGAACTATACAGCCTGTCTGAGTTTCGGTCTAGGCAGAAAGGATAGTGCTTTGCATTTCCGTGTAACCAGGCCTCATCCGTCCATGTCTGATCACGGTTAGGACACCAAAATGCAGGCCGTGCCAGCCATGAGCTGGTTTACCCTAATGAGACTGGCCACTAGCACTCAAGACCCTGAAGAGCTAAAAAGTTTGCCCCCTTGTCTACTGGAGAGGTGAAGGGTTTGGGGAGCTGAGAAGCAAGGGAGGCTCACATTTGTGGGGGGAGACACATTTGCAAGCAGAGGTGCTCCTGCATCGCCTCTTATGGGTGAGTGCATCCATTTAGCACTCAGCTCCAAGGAAAATAGAAAAGGTTGACCTGGGACAATCCAGTCCCTTCCCCTGATATTGTAAGCAGCCACAGGCTTGGTGATTAGTCCAGCGGGATGTGTAGCATGGCTCTTCTTTAGACAAAGCCACATTGAGATACACTATTTGGGTGAGGAGGCCTGGGGAGGGACTGCCTGTAAAGTATTAAGGCAACAAAAAGAGGCAATTTAGACTTTTAATAGATCACTTCAGGCAGGGAAGGCAGCTGTCCAAGCAGCCTTAAAACTTTTGGTGGATGGTGCCAAAGTTTTCTTGTTCTCAAGTGTCTGCTTGAGCTGCGATTATGCGAAGCAGTTAAACTTGTGATACCCTAAAGTAAGTAAATAGTCCAGTGGCAGCTAGCAAAAAGACTCATGTACTTCATGTCACTAACATACCTAATGTTTGTGTTGGACTGGTGTTTTTGATAACATAGCCTTTACATCGTGAGAGTTCTCCGCATGAGAAGCTATGTGGTCGGCTTATCAGCAAGTGACTCAGCTAGATAGCTGGCCAGAAAGGCTTCATGTGACAGGTCTGTGCAACCAGTGACAGCCGAGGGGAAGCCTTGGCTTGGGATAGCTGATCTGGGTCCCAGCAGACAATGACAGAACTAAGATCACGGGCTCCACAGGAGTCAAAAAGCTTGGCTGGAGAAGAGCATACGTGCACAGTGCTCACTGCCACAGAAGTAGACATGCAGCTCTCACAGCATTAGCACATTGCTTAAGCTTTCTGGATTATCTTTGAGAGGAAAAAAGAATACCTGTGACAGGGAATATGTGGATTTATCATTTATGCCTTACGTGAGGCATGTTGGAAATGCTGGTGTCTCACAATTGCAGCCCTCTCACACAGTATAGGGTAGCAAAGGGTGGCTGCTACTTGGAATGGTCTAGAGTTTCTCAGTCATGATAGTTACAGAACTTAAAGGTGGAAGAGTAGTGACACATATTGTATATAGGATACTATTTCCAGTATTGGAGAATGTGGTGAATTAGTGAAAAGGGGCTTTAGAAGAAAAGGCTGTGTAGATGGCTTGGAGTGAAAAGGAATAGGTATCTCTGTAAAACTGGGACTCCATTTCCCTTTATTTAATTTGTAAGCAAGACCTGTAGTACTCGCCT